AGCAATTGGCACTCACCATCAAGACTCTTCCTTTTTCATTACTAACAACAAAACATGGTGTAAGGGAAAGGGGATTTAGGGTTTCAACAATCCAAACTCAGGAGATAAAAATTTGTGCTTATGAATGAAAGATCAAAAGCCACAAGTTCATGAATACAACATCAGCATAAAGATTCGTAGTAGCAGTTTTGATATGGGAATAATGGTTCAAAGTTAAAGGAAGAGAGATAGGAAAAAATAGAGATAAGGAATGAGAGAAAGAAAGAATGTGGTGGTAGGATGTAATTAATGACAGTGATTTGAGGCTTGTGGAAGTTCAATCTAGACAATAAATCTGAAAGATCATGGAAACATGGTGGCAAAGGCAACAAACAAGGAGGTTAGTGACTAATATTGTAGTTTTGTTACTTGTAAGTTGCATTCATAGTATGTGCTTGAATGTGTGATTGCAGAGATAGCAAGCGGATAACTATAAACACAGTTTGATTTGATGAATCTATAGAACACTTACTGAGAAAAAATTACTGGGATTTGCTCTGTGATGTGGATTTTCTAATGTTTCTTCCTTTTCAAACTTCGTCTCTTTTGTGTTCTTCAATCCTCTGGTTTCCTTCTTAATTCTTCTTCTGTAGTTTCAATCTTTTCTTTTCAATCTTTGCTCCATTTCTTAATCTCCCGTTCTTCCTTTTTGTTTCTTTTCTTTCTCCCCATTCTTTGCTCTATTTTTTGAATACTCTCAGTTCTCCTCTTGTTTCTTTTTCATTTTCTTCCTTTATGTTTTGTCATATGCGATTTTCTCTTCCTGAATAGCATCTCTTCTTCCTTGCCTAAAATGCTCCATTCTATTTCTTTGCAATTTCGAATCTGAATGTATGTTTGTAGGCGGCGGAATCAGCTTGCATGTTCTTTATTCTATGGGTTTCCCATTTTTATTACATTTAATTAAAATAAGAAGAAAAAGAAAAAAAACAAAGTAAAACAAAAAATGTGTATTCACAATAGGCGGCATGCAAAAAGTGAGAGAGTGTTGACGGAACTTAGCAAATGGTAAGACACAGTCACATGTAGAGAGTTGTTTCCAACAAGGTGAATCTCGACATGGTGTTGGTGAAAGAGAACGACGATCAGGTTGGAAGAGAATTTAAAATTTTAAGTGATTTTGTTTAGGGTTTCACCAACATCAAGGTTTAGAAGACCCTAAAATAACAAAAGGAACATTTATCAAGGTGGGATCAAGTCTCTCAAACAAAACTAAACCACCTTAACAATGGAAGACATTGTTTTTACTACCAAAATACCACTAAAGAAACCACCAAATAAAGGTTCTACGATGGAACCTCCAAAGATATTGTTTAGAGGCAAGGTCATGGGAGCCAAAGCCCCACCCATGCCATGACCAAAGATAGATTTAATGGAGTAAAAGCTTGTCCATGTGGAACTAGAAGAGGTAATAGACTAAAGTCAAAGGTCTAAGTTGATTATGAAGTGTTTCATGAACTATGCCAGTCATGAGAGGATGCTTTGGTAATTAAGTTGCTAGGAAAAACTAAGGAGTCCAATGTAATGAAGGACCATTTGAAACGATTGTTGAAACTTATTAGAGACTTTGACATTATAGATGTGACCAATGAATTTTATATGCTCAAATTCAACCATTATGCTAATAGTGAGATGTTGATCAATAGGGGGTCTTAGATGATATTTGATCAATACCTCTCTACCATGAATTGGTCCTTAGAGTTCATTTCCTCGTCTACCAAAGTCACTCGTAAGTTGGCATAAATTCTTTTTTGGGTCTAAATTTGGTTTTTTATTATGAAAGCTTTATTCAGGTAATGACTTTTGCTGTGGGCACACTTGTTCATGTTAACAAGAATATGTTGAATGTGGAAGGTTTGCTAGGGTTTGTATGGAGTTGGATTTAACCCAATCGGTGGTGGGTAAAGTTTGATTAGAAAAGTCACTAGTATAAGGTAGAATATGAAGGGCTTTAGGTGATTTGTTCTTAGTGCAGGAATTATGGCCACTATGCAAGGGGTTGCATTGCCTCCATTGTCCCACCAGAGGTAGTAGATGAGATGATTAATAGAATGGTACAATAAGGGGCAAACACAAACTAGAAAGGTTGCAAACAATGAGGATAATAATGATAATGAGTAAATTATGGAGGAAGACAATCATGCTATTATAACATATGTGAAAAATAAGGATGATGATGAGGTACATGGAGAGTGACTTATAGCTATCAGGTGAAAAAAGTCTAACTTGAAAACGATTGGACCTAAGAAAGGTAGGAAATGCCACAAGGAGCTTGCATAGAAAAAAGAAAATACTATTTTGAAGCCTTCTAATGTTGTCTCTCAAAAGAATGAGGACTCACAAGTTAAAATTTTCAAATCCAATAATAATAATAATAATAAAAGATAAAGGGAGTGATCCTCATATTATTAGTTATGGGAAAGAAAAGACGAAGGGGCAACAAGTAGAAAAGCATTCAGCAAGCAAAATTACTAGATACACATTCCAAGAGTGTGACATGGTCACATGCAACATAAAGGCATTTTTATGTCCATGCAGAAATGCTTAACTCCAACTTACTAAAACATCTTAGTAAGGGTGTAGCATTTTATGAAATGGAAATAAACTTCCTTCATTTTCTCTAAATCATAACCTCTACCAAGGTGATCCACTCTCTCTATTTATTTTCTTTTCTATGTATAAAGATGTTAACTCTTGCTATAAAAGATTTTGTGAGAAATAATTAGTAACAACTAATTAAAATTATAAAAATAATTTAACTATTTCTCATCTACTTTTTGCTGGTAATATGCTTTTATTTGCTAAAACTAAAATTGCTCAAATCATAATTATAAAAAAAATTCTCGACCAATTTAGTGTTGTTTCTTATCTAAAAATTAACTTGATTATTTATATTAATTTATATATTTTATTATAAAAAATATTATTTTAAATATATTTATTTAAAATACAAAACTGGCTTTCTTCTCCCCTTTTCTTTAAAATCACTCTTCCTAAATAACTCCTTAAATATTTCATTCTCTCAAAATTTTAAAAGGATTATATCTTCTTAAAATCTCAATATTTTTATATTAATAATCAATATTATTTCTTATTATTTTTACAAAAAAATAAATAAATAATTATTAGGATTAATAAAAATTATATATTATTAATCTATATTATATTTCAAAAATTGTATTATTAAATATCCAGATTAATGATTTATAATTTTATATATTAATTAAAAAATACTTACTTATATAAAAATAAAAATTAATATATCTAAAAGAAATATATAATTAATTTAAGAATTAATATAAATAGTTATTTTTAATAAATCTAATTTCAGATTAAAGGACTGTAAACTGTAAAGGCTCTTAAGTTTTGCACGTTTTCCGTTAAATTAATATTTATATAGAGGGTATCCATATCTCGTGAGAACCTCGACGACTCCGGAGTGAAATCCCACACGCTACGAAAATGACATAATTGAGAAATATTAATTATTTAACTTTATGTTTATAATATGTTTTTAAGGTCTATTTATATATTTATATATTGAAAATAAAATAAAATAAAAATAAATTTTATTTGTATACAGTATCACATAATATTAATTTTTAATTATTTAAGAAGTAAAATAACAGGATATATATTAACTTTTAATTTAATTTTTTATTTTTATATATTTATTAAAATTAGAACTTGGAAGTGTTGATCTGCATATGGTTTTTTTAAAATATTAATATTAATTCCTAAGGTTTATTTTAAATATTTTTATATTAAAATAATAATAATTATTATCTGTTTGCACATAAAAATATTTTTATCTGATTATTAAAATTATTTTCAAAGATAAATTAAAATGTATTATTTTATCTATTTAAAATTAATAAAAATTATTCTATTAAAATTATTTTGATAAAGTTTACGATGCTCTAAAAAATAAAAGAGTATTATATATTATTTTATATGTGAAATAATTATAATCATTAATTTTAATGGTAAAATTAATAATATATTTAAGAAAACATAAATATATTTATAGAGAGAATATTTAATAAATTCTTAAGTTTAAGAATACAGTAATAATTATCGATTTTATTCTTTTTCCGAAAATGCAGGGAATTGGCGTCCTAGTAACATAATGAACGTGAATAAAGAAGCCACGCCTCTCGTGCAGTGTGGTCTCACACCTACCATCAGATTCAGAGCAGTTTTTTTCATATTCTTCAAAACGTCGTATAGGCCAACGTCACACATTACTTAGTTTCTCACGTGTAGACGTGTAGTCAAGCCTTTTTGTCTTATAGTCAATTTCTTTTAGCTTTCATTAGAAAATTTAATTTTATACAAAAAAGTTAAAAGTTTAATTTTTTTTAAAATTATTTTTAAAATTAATATTTGAAAAATAAGATCAAAACTTAATTTATTTTAATAAAATAAAATAACTTTAAAACTATAAATGGAAATATATCTTTACAAATTTTTGGCTTAAAATTGTTTTGTTTACCCAAACTAAAAGCCCTTTATGTTTTAAAATTAATTTTAGTCACCATAAAAAATTACAAAGCAGCCTCAATTAGCGTGTAGTAGGAGCATTTATAAACCAATCTAATTTAATACAACAGTATAAAAGAAAACGAAATATGACAATTTAAACAATAAATATAATTTAATTTTCTTATTATAGACAGTAAATATTGATGGAAATTAGGGGACAACAGTGTTATGTGATTTTAAAAAAAATGTAATTGATTTTGTGGATCACAATTAATTTTTAACCGACCTAAAACGAGGGTGTAGAAGCAACAAAACCAATTAACGAAACAGTGGCAGAGCCAACAAAATGGAATATGAGAATGGAAAGAGAGAGGTCCACACGTTGTTGAATTCAATTGAAGACACACACTAAAAAGGAAATATAAAAAAGAGGTTCTCCCTCCTTTAAATTGGTATGAGAGGCACCACGAAGTACAATACTAACAAAACAAGTTATTGATTCTTGACGCCGTTTCGCACCCTCGACTCTGTTTTGTTTTTCATAACACAAAAGATGGGAAGCGAAGGCGAGAACAGGGTGAGGAAACCAAGAATCCTATGCCTTCATGGGTTCCGAACAAGCGGAGAAATTCTGAAAACACAGATACACAAATGGCCTCAATCAGTGCTTAAGAACTTTGATCTTGTCTTCGTCGATGCTCCTTTTCCTTGCCAAGGCAAATCTGATGTTGAAGGCATTTTTGATCCTCCTTACTACGAGTGGTTCCAGTTCAACAAGGTTTCCTTTCTACTTCTCTCTAATGATTAGTAGAAACATATTTGTATGTGTGAATTGGATTCAGATCATCTAAGCTAAGGATTGCATTTCAAAAGACGAAGTGTATTTATAGTAGTTGATTAACTAATAATAATAATAATTTAAAATTAATAACCGTCGTAATTATTTATTTTCTAATCAACCATCGGAGTGATAAAATTGGTTAGTTTAACTGCATGTGCCTGAATTTATCCAAAGTTATTTGATAAAATATAAGACCTAAATTTTAAATTATTATTATTTTTAATTTAATTAGATTTTGGTCGATATAAGTTTATAATTTAATTAGGCATTGACATGTTTCCTTCGATCATTATTTTATTTACAACCATCTAAAGTTTTTATGGTGAAACAGGAGTTTACAGAGTATACCAACTTTGATGAGTGCCTTCAATATGTTGAGGATTGCATGATCAAACACGGACCTTTTGATGGTCTTCTTGGTTTCTCACAGGTAATCTCTTAATGAATGTGTCTATTTCCATTCTGTGATTAAATAATTTTTATTTAAAAATACTTTTTATTATTTATATCAGTGATAAAGATATTTAAATATTTTTTAAAATTAGGGTGACGATTTGTCTGGAAAATTAAAATGTTACAGATTAAACAGTCTACCTGACTATTAATTGCTTGTTTTTCTTTGGGATGGATGCATTACAACAATCATTCTTCCCCCATACTATGAACTTCAATGTAATGATAAATGAATAAGGTCAAAAACTATTTTCTTTCTATAAAAATTAAGAATTAATACATACTCGATGTATGTTTGACATTTCATACTGGCCAAGGATTTGAATATAACTAGGCGTTTTAATTTGACAAAATAGGGGGCGATATTATCAGCTGCGCTGCCAGGTCTTCAGGAGAAGGTATGTGCAAAACAGGAAACTTATGTTGATTTTGAATTCTAGTTTCCATATTTGACTCAACGATAAATTTATATACTTATATTATAAAGATATAAATAAATTGTATTTTATAGTGTGTGTGTGTATATATATATATATATATATATATATATATATATATAATTATTTTGATGTTTTTATTTTTCATTTTATGATGTAATCATATTAACAAGTAATATGAAAAGATTTAAATTACATGCTAAATTGTTATAGTTTGGAGTTAATTGGAATTAATTAAAATGGCCAATTTATGTGCAGGGCGTGGCTCTCAAGAAGGTTCCCAAAGTGAAATTTTTGATAATAGTAGGAGGGGCCATGTTTAGGTCACCTTCTCTGGCAGAGAAAGCATATTCTTCCCCCATTGGGTGCCCCTCCCTTCACTTTCTAGGTAGCTTCATTGCCTCCTTTTATTTTATTCTTCTTTCTTGTCATTGTTACTTTTTTGATAAAGCCATATTCCAGCCGCTCATATTTGACTGGTTACCCTCTATTTTTTGGCAACATGAATGATTACGTTACCCATTTGAATTCTTCAATTACTACAGAATTAAAAAAATTCTCTCTGTTGGGACTGGAAGCCCATAACTTGGCGCCCACCCCATCAATGGGTGACTGTTGGAATTGGGCTGCTTTCTAGCCTTTCAGATATTGTTCCTTAAGACTGTTTTATGATCAACTAAAAATGTTAAACATAGTTTATATTAAAGTTGATTAAAATTAATTTTAAATTATTAAATATACTTCAAATGTGTATTTTAATTTATTTTTACTAGTTATTATGATCATGTAGAGTCAGTATATATAAAATAAATGTTTCAGCTCTTCCAAGTTATTATGATCAAAAGTCGAAACCCGTTGTATGCTGCTGAAAATTAATGTAATCTTAGTGATTCCAAATGTTGTATATAAAGGTTCATGCATTCGTGTCACACTGTACATGGGTTGACAATTAATTGCTGTGTTTGGTTACATTTTTTCCTGAAAATATTTACTTGAAATGCCTACTGCAGGGGAGACAGATTTTTTAAAGGAGTATGGGAATGAACTACTAAAGTCCTGTGTTGATCCCGTGGTGATTCATCACCCCAAAGGACACACAATACCAAGATTAGGTGCGGTATCAAGCAACTCTATTTAATTCATATTTGATTCATTTGCTCTGACAAATAGTGTTATATTTGAGTCATTGACATGAGTAGTTTCTCTTTTCCTTTTCAGACGATAAGAGCCAGAAGACCATGATGGATTTCATTGAAAGAATTCAAAGAGATATCTAAAAGAAGAAATGAGTTTAGAGGACAAGTCAACGCTTCAACATGATTTTTGAAACATTTTATTTTTTTCATTTTTACATAAATTAATAGCACTACTATTTTATACTCAACAGTTATCATAATCAATTATATAAGTGGTCATGTTTCGAATATAAATGCAGAGGCTCAGTGCCAATTTGCAGCAGCATTCCCTCCTCTCTTCACAGATCTTCCTATTATTCTTTTATATTCATTAGTCAAGATTTATTCTTTGTACACACCACGGCTAAAATGGTTGATAATAAATTATAGATTTGTTAGAACATATTTTTGTTATTTTTCTGATCAATAATTGATGACTAATTATTCTAAGTATATGGCTTGGGTGTTGCTACTTATGCAATATTTTAAAATTTTGGTTTGAAATTATCAAGGCCCATGAAAAGGAGAGGTATTTTAGAGATCCATTTGGATTGTATTGAGGGAAAATGATGATGAAGGAAAATGGAATAGATTAAAATGAAATGAAGTAGAAAATAATAGGTAAATATTAAATAATTTTTTTACTTCATTATTTAATGAAGTGAAATAAATTATAATATTTTTATTTTTATGTCATTTTATAACATAAATAAGTAAAAAAGTGATATTAGAATTTTATAAATATGGGTTAAAGATATATTGATAATTTAATAATTATAAAAATAAAATCTATTAAGATTCTATCATATATCCTCCAAATCATGAGGCAACAAAATTGAGAGTTTTGAATGGAAAGTCATGAAATTTATCCCATTAAATACTATTCTATTTCATTAATATTTGATCAATTTAAACAACAAAACCATTTAAAATACTATATTCCATCTTCTGCTACCAATCTAAACATAGTCCAAGAATATGTTTGGATTAACGTAAGGTAACAAAATGGAATAGATTAAAATAAAATATAGTAAAATAGAACATAATAAAGTGAAGATTTCATTTCTTTGTTTCAATGTACAGAAAAAAAAAATTCCATTATTTGGATAATGAATAAAATAGAATGGATTAGGCTTACTAATGCAATTATGGTACTAGTTAATGAATTAATAATTAATTAATTTTTTTGTAATTTGTGTTAAAACCAATTAAAAAAATTATAGAATTAAGTATAATTTTATTTTTAATAAATATTATATTGTTTATTCTTTAACCAGTGTCTTAAGATATTTTTAACAATTTTCTTTATATAATATAAGAGGGTATTTTTGGTATAACAGATAATGCTTTATTATAAAAAGAAAATATGATAATAATGTAATACTATTTTTTTATATTTCTAAGTTGATGAATATTTTAAAATATGTGTTTTATTTAAATTTATATATTTTATTTAAATATTGTCAATCTAATTTTAATTAATTATTTAGATTTACATGTGAAAACTAAGTTTAAATGAATAACAAATTAATCTAAGAATAAATACATCATTTTTATTTCATTAAAAAAATTATTTACATATTAAAAAAATACAAACAAACTACAAAATTATTTCAACAAGTATCATTTTTATAAAATTTAAAAACTTATTACGTGAATATCATCTTACATTTTGTTTTACAAAATCCTTAATTTATAAAAAAATTTAAAAAATAAAAAATTATATCTTTAAAAGTTTCCTTCCAATAATTCAAGAGAACAAAAACTATTTTTCAAATAAAAATTTTGATAGTAAAAATAATTTTTTATTAATAATCAATCATATTTTAATGGAGCCTTTTTTATTTAATTCATTATTTTTATTCTAATATTTTATACTTAGATATTCATTTTAATTATTGTATAATTTTTAATTATTATATAATTTTATAAACAAAATTCAATAAATAAAGACATACTTTAATAAAAAAAATTATCATAAATAAGAAAGTTAATAATTATGGATAAAATATAAATAATTTAAATATAATATATATAATAAAAATTCATAATTTCTTTCGATAGAATTGGATTGCACACTAACTTCGGGTGCTTGGATATCTATCTTTATAGCAGAATTGATTTTTAAAGAAAATAAAAGTTTTTTACTTTTAAATCAGGTAGAATCAAGACTTGTTTGTTTAAAAGTTAAAAAATTAATTTTATTTTTTAATAAAAAAATACACATTCTTACAAAAGTGTTATTTTAATTTATTTGAATATATATTTTAGTCAAATTTACTTTCATCAAAATCAATTTAATATAAGACTCATAAAACTTAGAAAAGATATCTTTCAAATTACTTTTAAAATATCATACTAAAATTTTGAGCAATTTGTTTAAACATTTTATTTCAAAATTATTTTTATTAAAATCTAAAACAAACAAATTTCAATAAATTAACTCCAATCTTTGAAATCTTTATGCTTTTTTTTGCTCAAATTTATATTCCTACTTATCTTCAAGTTAATGATGTTATAGTAAAATCACTATTATCATTAATCATATCATCTTGTACTTTATAGGATCTTATTATTTTTTTAGTTAATGTTGAAATTGCTGCAATTAATGGATTTGTGTACAAATAAAGTTCTTCCTTGCTGGACAAAGTACAAATCACAGGGCATTGTTTACTGTATGGTTAGAAGGCCAGAGTTGCAAAAGTACGATTTTCTTTCTCCTTTTGTTTTTCTATTCATGATTCTTTATATTTATTTGGGGTAAGAAAAATTTTTTAAGTTAAAAATTATGTTAAAGGAAGTTACATTTCGACAAAATTTTGAAGGTCAAGAAGGAGCCAAAAAATAGGCCTGAACATAAGAGAATCGTGGAAGATTATCCAAGACCTTTAGTTTTTATTAAAAGGGAAACATTTCGAGTTATTTTAGGAGATTTTTGTCACATTGTAGATTTTTCTCTAAACTGCTTGAAAGACAAGAAAATATTCTAAGTCCACAAAATTGAAAGTTTTTTCGAGGAGTTTTGAGGAATTTCCAAGTCACTGACATCTAAAACTGCTTGAAAAACAAGACTGACAAGAAAACATTCTAAGTCCACAAAACTGATGACTTTTCAAGGAGTTTTGAAGAGTTTTCAAGTCCCTGACACCCAAAACTGCTCGAAAAATAGGAAGTGATTAAAAAATATTCCAAGTCCATAAACCTGGTTGAGCTCCAAATTCCCTCCAGAAATGCTCGAAAAACAGGAAGTAGTCAGAAAATATTCTAAGTCCACAAACCTGGTTGAGCTCCAGAGTCCCTCCAGAATTGCTCGAAAAACAGAAATGAGCAAAGAAAATATTCTAAGTTCACAAGACCAAGACAAGTTCTCAAAATTCCAGAATTAGTCAAAAAGAGAAGTTAAGGAGAAATTATTTTAAGGTCATAACACTAAATGAGCCTCTTAGAATTCTACCAGAAATACTCAAAAGATAAAAAAAAAAAAAAAAACAAAAGTCTTGATAGGTCAAGTCATTGCAAAATCCAAAAGCGGTTACCAGCAGTCATCAACATTCACCACTACGCAAAGGAGATCGTGAGCAATAGCAATTATGAAAGAAGTCTCAACCAACCGCACGATCACAAGCAATCGTGGATAATGGGTATCAACAGTTGAAGATAGTTACTAAGAAGTGCCCGCAAAAGGAGGAGAACGGTGGTGATCTTCCTACCTATAAATATTCCAAAGCACCATTTTACAAATGACGACTTTTTGCATCCTGACACCACACCTAAAATTCTCTGCACGCTGAAATCTTGCACTGCGGCAGACACCAGCTACAAGGAGACTTGCGGTGGCCGTTGTTCGATATTGTGAGGAGTTGTACGTTTACATTCACGCACCTTTACATTCATGCACATTTCTCTTTCTGCAGTTTATTTCTAACTTCTTTGTTTGCTTTCGTTCCTTTTTTTGCAATTTGTGTCCTATTTCACACTTTTCTGTAAAAATTTTCACGTTTGATTCAATTCTGCACGTTTACTATTCTCTATTATTGCTTAATACTCTTTTTACGTCGTTAATTTGAGCATCACGTTAATAACACACTTAAAAGAACCCAAAGAGGACCTAATCCAGTCCCTAGATTGTTCTTGGATTATTGTTTACATAACTGTCATTTTTCACCGTAAACAATATTTTTTAATTTGTGTAATTAAATTTGATGGTAAAAAAAATAAAGATTTTTCATACTCAAATTGTAATTAGAAGGAGAAGGAATAAAGTAATAGGCCTTAATATCTGGGATGCATGATGTACGGATGAAATTTTGTTTAAGAAATTTTTTTAAGTTGTTTCAAAATCCATCACTTGTGTTTGCCTCATATTGGGATATAATTTCTTCAAACATGTGAGAGCCAATGGCTAAGGCATTTGCTATTGGTAACATTTCCCATGATTTAGCTTAAACATTAATTGTAATTAGAAGGAGAAGGAATAAAGTAATAGGCCTTAATATCTGGGATGCATGATGTACGGATGAAATTTTGTTTAAGAAATTTTTTTAAGTTGTTTCAAAATCCGTCACTTGTGTTTGCCTCATATTGGGATATAATTTCTTCAAATACGTGAGAGCCAATGGCTAAGGCATTTGCTATTGGTAACATTTCCCATGATTTAGCTTAAACATTAATTGTGTCTTTTTTAAAAATTGAAACTAGGAAAAATAAAATTATTTTAAGTATGACTGATAGATTTTTTATATATCATAAAAAAAATATAGTTATTTTCAAATATGTAATGATGAAGATGTTAAATGTATTATAAATACTTTTGAGTAACAACTATTAATGGAAATGATTGAGCTATATGTTAATATTAATTTGATTGATAGACTTAAAGCAAATGTAATTGATTTAACAAGTAAATAATTTATAAAATTTAATTAATTCATTTTACAATTATGTAATTAATTGATGTTATAAAGTTTTGTTAATTATATTTTTAAGTTACTCTATTAGAGATATTAATTTATCAAATGATGATGATCTCAAAAATGATTTAAAAGATATATTAGAAACAAATGACAATGATGTTGATGAGGGTGAAATTCCATATGCTAATAAAAATGACATTGATATTAAAGGTGACATTGATTGAATTGTTCAATGTTGCAATCAGGTCCAATAGAAAAAATGAGAAAGAGAAAAATAAAGATTGAAGGAGTTGCTACAAAGATTTTTAAAAAACTCTAAAAAACTTTAAAAAAATATAGTATGGTTAACCAGATCAGAGTTCAATAATCTAATTATATATGTAGAAGAAATAAGCACCCCACAACATATGTAAAAATGGTTATCCTAATTTGTGAAAAAAAATTAAAATTTCATTTTATTACTGTCACAAGCTAAAATAACACT